GAGCAGCACCACCAGCTACTCCAGGCCCTGCAGCAGGTGCACTCGGCGGCCTCTGCCAATGCGGAGCGCCGCGATGGCTCAAGGACTCCGAGACGAAGCAAGGATGCCGCTGGAGTCAAGCTCGAAGTCGCCTTTTGGCTAGGCTCTCTGGCGTGCCTTAGTGACATCAGAGAGCCTTCGTGCACTCCGCCTTTCTGGCGTCGATTTCAGCACAGCATCATGCAGGATGACGATTTCGTTGACGACCTGCATGCCACCCTCTACGCATGCGTCTGGAGTTTTGATGTTGCCTGCCCCAGTGAAGGGAGCGACTTTCTGGACCCAAGGCTCCGCGGCTATGCTTGTGACCCAGTTGAGAATGCCCAAGACGAGCTTGATGCAACCTCGTCTGTTGCTTCCACATTCCGTGATGATGCCTGTCCCATGGCCCTGACAGCAGCTCTTCGCGACGAGGTGGGAGCACGGACGGGGGACGATGGCTTGTCTTGCTGGGGTTCTCGCTTGAGGCCAGGCTCTCCCAAGGGCATTCTGAAAGCCAGTGTACATAGCTGTACAAAGTCAGCTAGGACTGTGTCGGGTGCGGTTTCTTTTGCCGCTATCCCTGACGTCTGCTTTTTCCTGCCTAAGTCCCGGCTACCTCCTTATTCAGGCCCACGGCTCCAGAGGCTCTGCCCTCCGATTTCGCCAACATGCCGCCATCCCCTGTCGCAGCAGTCGCACCCGTGTGGTAGCACTGCATCGTCCCAGGTTCCAGGTCAAGAGGTGGGGCTGTCAGGCGTGCTCACGACTCTGCGGGTTCGAGCCGAGGTTAAGGAGGATCTGAGGCCCCGGCTTCCAGGGGCCGGCCTAGGCTCCCAACGGGGCCCCAAGCCGACACTTCCGCCAGCAGGTCCAGGTTCCAGGCTATGAGGCGGGGCTGCCAGGCGTGCTCACGACTCCGCGGGTCCGAGCCAAGGCTAAGGAGGATCTGAGGCCCTGGCTTCCTGAGGCCGGCCCAGGCTCCCAAAAGAGCCCCAAGCCGGCACTCCCGCCAGCAGGATGCCTTTCCCTGTCGCAGCAGCTGCGCCCATGTGATAGCACTGCATTGTCCCAGGTTCCAGGTCAAGAAATGGGGCTGACAGGCGTGCCCAAGACCGGCCCAGGCTCCCAATCGAGCTCCAAGTTGGCACCTCCGACAGCAAGCTGCCCTTCCCTGTCGCAGCAGCTGCACTTATGTGGTGGCACTGCACTGCAGGTTTCAGGTCAAGAGGCAGGGTCGCCAGGCGTGCCTACGAAGATGCAGGAGGATCTGAGGCCCCAACTTCCAGTGGCCCCCAATGGGGCCCCAAGTCGGCACTTCCGACAGAAGGGTGCCTTTCCCTTTCGCAGCAGTTGCACCCATGTGGTAGCACTGCATTGTCCCAGGTCTCAGGCCAAGAGGTGGGGTTGCCAGGGACGCCCACGACTCTGCAGGTTCGAGCCAAGGTGAAACAGGTGAAACAGGATCTGAGGCCACGACTGCCCGCTGCTGGCCCTGGCTCCCAATGGGGCCCCAAGTCGGTACCGCGACAGGCGGCAAGGCCGGCCATGCCGAGCGAGATCTCCTACATCCGGGCCTCGCACGTTCGAGTCCTGCCGGCAGAGCTTGACGGCTCGGCCCTGTACCTGCCTATGGAAAGAATGGTCGTGGCTTTACGGCCTGAGGCTGATGCAGCCGGCAACGGTCGCTACACCATTTTCGAGCCGGGGCAAAGGCCACGGGTACGAGCCTGCAGACATGACTGGAGACTTAGTGACTACGCGGCTGATGCTGCCGGCTCCGCTGTCGGCCCGATACGTACACTCCAGTTCATAACCAGACCTATGTCGGGCCTTCCGTGCCCCCAGCTCACCCTTACGCCCACCAGCGCAGCTCCTGATGCCCTTGCGGTCCCGTTCGACCTCAGAGAGTTTGCCCTGAATGTTGTGACAGCCACGGTGACAAACCAGGCGACCATGGAGGCCCTGCCGGATATCTTGGCCAACGGTGCCCCTATACCGCGCCTTTTGAGCCTCCCGCGAGGCCCGCCACGGGCCGTCTTGGATGCCACCGGGCGCAGGCATGCTGACTTTCTGGCCCCCCTTTTCGAGCTGGAATGGGCAGTCTTGCACTATGAGGAGCCTGGGGGGGACATTGAGTATGCCACTGCCACCAGACCGGATGCGTTGACCGCTTTGAGGGGCGATGTACCCTCTTTGCTGGGGAGGGAACGACGGCTTCAGCCCACCTTCCACCCCCCCGCTTTCGAGTGTCGCCCCGCTTACATCTTCGAAGAAAGTGTGGCCATCCAGGACTCTCTTCAGTTCACCCTGGACCGTGGCAGCGGCCCCTATGGGCGACAGCGCATTCAATACACCTTGTTTGCGTGGCACAGTTGGCCGCGGCACCTACTCGCGGAACCAGAGTGGATGCTGTCCGACCTGGCGGCGTTTGCGGCAGCTTCTCATGACGAGTCCCTGCGCAGCATGCATGTGCTACAAAGCCCCATGCCAGGTATTGCCACGCCGCAAATGGTCGCGACCTCCGTGGATGTTGTGGACCCATGGAGGATCATACCAGTAGACCTCAGACCCATTGGAGGAGACATCTTCTGCCCCCCCCTAGGCCCTGACATGCCGGCAGAGGAGGTCTATGCCAGAATCCGGCCGTTCGTCACCACGAATGTCGCGGTGCAGCTGCGAGTTGAGGGCCATGGGCCTGTGTACCTGCAAGACCAAACAGGTGCAGTCTATGATACCCTTCCCGGCACCCTTGACAATGTGGATTGGCTTGCAGTGCGGCCCCTCCACAGGACTGCTCCGGCGTCCCCTATCTCTGAGGGCACCACGACAACTACGACTGGTGTCGTGGCTGGGCCGGTCCGTGTCCTGGTCGCTCTCGTGACTGGCGCCCAGACTTTGCGTACCCTGCCTGTTGAGTTGGAGGCCTTTGACGCCGCGGTGGCCCTGACGCGGCTTGTCAGTGCAGTTGCGCGGAGCCGCGCTTTGCCTCCTGGGGGCTTTGTGCAACAGCTTGCGGCCTATCCTTCACAGAGCCCAGACGGTATTCAATCCATCCCTTTTGTCCTGGCGTCGGGGCGACCGGGCCTCGTGGCAGTTGTGGTCGATATAACCACCTGTGGGCAAGGCATTTACTCCGTGGAGATCCCTGAGAACACCTGGGCAGAGGACCTACTTAAGCCTAACCAGCGTGCCAGGGAACTGACTTACTTGGTCAACGGCATTCCCTTGCAAGGCATTAGGCGGCCGCTCAGGGCAGGGGATTACTTGCAGCTGGTGCCCAATTCCTGTCGAGGCACCCTCACTATCTCCCCTGCAACAGTTTGGATGAGGCGGATCAGGCAGTTGCGCCTGTGGGCGCTCCCCGTGGCATTTCCGCCCCTCACGCACGGCCAAGGAGGAATCTCCACAGATCTGGCAGAGCATGCAGCCAGAGCGTTCTTAAGGTACTACCGCGAGGTTGAGGCGGGGAGGTTGCAAACCTTCGGGTCCTTCGGCCCGGGCAAAGTTGCCATCTGGGTCCTCTCGGCATGGAATCCTCCGATGCTCTTTGCTGCCACCTGCCCTGTGACCCCCACCCTTGCTTAGTCCGAGCAAGCGCTGCGTTCTTCAGGTGCCATAGCGGAAGAGGCCATCCTCATCGAGGGCGAACGCCCGATAAGCTTGACCGATTCAGTTGTCATCCAAGTGGGCGCTGCCGACCCTTATCGTACTTTGCTGCTTCCAGTCCCCGGAGATCCGGAGTTCTTCATGATGACAGCCATCAACCCGCTGGCCCCGATTGAGCCTACACTGCATGTGCTGCCGAGACTTCCCTACACCACGGTATTCCCTCCCGCCGAAGTCAAAGATGGAGCAGTCTTCAGGGTTCGGGTCCCCGCGGGAGCCGTGTCAGTTCAGGCGCGAGTTCGGCCCCGGCCAGAGTCAACAGGAAGTGCTACCAGCAGTCTCAGCCTGCTCCAGGCTGGTGTCCGACTGTCCAGGACGAATGCAGCTTCGGGGTCGCACGGGCATCCTGCCCCTCCCTGCACTGTTCCCACACCTCATGGCAGGAGGCGTCTTCCTATCAAGGACGCCCCAGTGGTACAATCTGAGGTGGCGACATCTGGCGAGTGCTGTCCGCGCACAGCTGCACCTGACTCGGCTGCGGCCAGTCCTTTGCAACTAGGGCCTATTGTCGAACCTCCTCGACACGGAGCCTATTTTGGGGTGACTCGTGAGATTGTTGCCCATGCCCTGGCATCATTTGCACAGCGACCAACTGATTTGGTTCCTAGGGCTAAGCAACTTCTGCCAGTTGCGAGGAGAACCTGGCAGCTCCTCGAGCCGATCGACCCCCGGTCGCCTCTCCAGGCCATGCTTATCTACACAGACGGCTCCTACTGCCCTCAGTTTCAGCATGCCAGTTGGTCCGCTGTGATCACCGCGCAACAGGAGAACCGCCCCTGCAAAATCGGCGCTCTCGCTGGCAAAGTACCCACTTCAGATGGACCCGCTACTGCCTTCCGAGCCGAGGTCTGGGCGCTACTCCATGCTGTTGCCTATGTTGCTGCCAATGGAATCACGCGAGCCACTATTGCGTCGGATTGCCAGTCTGCCCTCGATATTGTCTTCGGCGTAGCCCGCTGCGACCCAAGTGACAAGGCGGGTAGAGCTGCACAAAGCCTGCTGCTTTTGGCTCGTGCGCAGGGATCCGTGCTTTGCCCGCTCAAAGTGGAGGCACACTGCGGACTGCCCCTCAATGAAGCTGCTGACGCCGTCGCAAAGACGGCCAACCTGCAACAGGCCCACCCGGACTTCAGCTTCGAGGCTCCAGATCTCCTTGCCTGCATTGCAGATGGCACGGTCGAAAGACTCTGGATGATTCACGCCCACCGGTGCATGCCGGCACAGCTGCCTCACCTAGGCGACAGCGGCGAGTGGGGGTTGCCGTCCTGTAATCTTAGCCCCACCACACGCGCGACCTCAGTCTCTTTTTGCACCCAGCCTCCAGAGAGCGAACAATGGCAGTTGGCACTCAACCTCATTACCTACAACTGCCTCTCAGCCCGGAGTCGCGCCGCCAAAGCCCTGCTCGACCAGGGCCTGCACCACAGACAATGTGCACTCGCAGGACTCCAAGAGACCCGCGACCTCGAAGAAGGTGTGCAGACGACAGAGCATTACTGGGTCGTCTCCTCGAGCTGTGACAAATCGGGAGCTGGCGGCTGTCAGGTTTGGATTTCCAAGTGCCTCCCGTGGGCACGCGCTGGCGAGCAGATGATGCAGCCAGCGCGTGACAGCATCTGCGTCTTGTTTGCCTCGCCGCAGCTGCTCATTGTGCTCTTCCGTGTTGGCACCCTCAAGGTTGCATGCGTGGTTGCACACGCCCCTACCTCCACCGCCCCACAGTCAGTGATCGATCAGTGGTGGAAGGATCTCAGAGAAGCTAACCTTCGGGTCCCACCCGGTCACGTCCGTATCTGCATGATCGATGCCAATGCTTCCTTCGAGTCACATCCGGACAACCCCAGCACCATTGAAGCCACCCCCTCTGGGGCTAATTCCTTCTGTTTCCAGGCCTTTTGCCAGGACTTCTGTCTGTGCCCCTCGGCGCAACGTGATGTGTCCGGAAATCGACTTTTCTCCTGGACCAGCCCTGGGGGTGAGCTTAAGCGCCTCATCGACTACGTCTGTGTTCCGGATGCCTGGAAAGAGGGGTTTGCCACAATGCCAAACTTTTGTCTGGGGGATATCCGAGCTGGATTCGACCATTCCCCCGTCCAAGGATGGCTGCGAGCTCAGATTGACCCCGCCTGCCAGATGCCCTAGGCGTTTCTGTGTTGAGTCTTTCCACACGCCCGAGGGACGGGCAGCTGCGGCGACTGCCCTCGCCACGATGCCTCAGGTTCCTTGGGACGTCGATGCGACCACGCACTTCGACGCGCAAGCCTGCTTGAGCGCACATTTACCTGCGCCCGCCAAGAAACCGCGGAACCCGGCTTTCTCTGACAAGTCCCTCGAGCTCATCCTCACCAGGCGTCGTGTGCGTACTGTCAGAGATCGCTTGCGCCGTCAGCTGGCATCTACCTTGCTTTACCACTGCTTCGCTGCGTGGAGAGGCCGGACTGGCCGCACTGCAAGCCGACTAGCACAGCTTGCCGGCCTTGCAGACCGCACCGCCAAGGCAGCTTTTTCCTACTGTGCGCTCAACAAGGCCGTGCACGAAGGCCTGGCTGCAGACCGAGCAGCTTTTACGCGGAGGGCAATCGACCATGCGAGAGGCATGGGCTCAGCCGAGTTTGCGCACCACCTACGAGCTGTTCTGCGGACTGGCAGGCGGTACCGGGCTCCACAGCTCCTCAGGCCTCTCCAATGCGACGCCCAGACAGCCGCATGCGATACCGACATCCTGGCCGCGCTGGGAAAACACTTCGCCGCGCCTGAGCGGGCAGCTTTACTCCCCAGCTCCGAACTGGCGGCCAAGTTTGATGGGGCCACTCCCCTAGCCGAGGGCACGGATTTTGAACAACTGCCCACTTTATCCGACCTTGCTGCCGGGGTCTTGGCGTTGAAGCCACGTAAGGCGGCGGGGGTTTCAGGATTGGCCGCCGAGCTTTTCCGTGCCGATGCCCTCGCTTCTGCTGCGGTGCTTTTTCCTCTGTTGGCCAAGACGGCGGTCAGAGGCACAGGTCCGGCACAACATAATGGGGGCCTGGCTCGGGCGATCCCTAAGGGCAAGCTGCAGGCGAGCAACCCAGGCGGATGGCGGTCTATCCTTCTTTTGGAGCCCTCCGCTAAGATCATCCAGCAAGCCTATAGGCCCCAGCTTATCGCCTTTCTGGAAGGCCACATGTCACGATGCCAGTTCGGGGGCCTTCCGAACCGACGCCTCGAGCAGCCAAGCGCCATTGTGCGTTCGCACTTTGCCATGCTAAGGGCCACTGCACAAGTCGGCGGTGCAGTCTTCATAGACAGCCGAGCTGCCTATTATTCTATCATACGGGACTCCCTCGTCGCGAGCAGAGTCGAGCTCACCACGGCACAGCTCCGCTGCCGCGCCCAGGTTCTGTTTCCTTTCCGAGACGACCAGGAGTCTTATGTTAGGCACATGCAGGCCGGAGGCATTGTGCGCACGCTTCAGCTGCCGGAGCCCCTAGTGCGCTACCTGGAATCCCAGCTGGGCACCACGTGGTTTTCTATGACCAATCCCATCAATGCAGCCTATGTGGCCGATAGTGGGACCGCCCCAGGGTCTCCTATCGCTGACGTGCTCTTTTCGTTTGTGTATGCGCGGTTTCTGACCCAGGCAGAGGACTTGCTGATCCAGGAAGGCCACTACGTGCGCCTGTGCACCACTCAGTCCCCTGAAGCCGTGCCCACCTGGGCCGACGACACCGCTTTTCTACTCGGACCGATCGCACCTGTATCTCTTGCCCCCTCTCTCCGACGTGTGGCTGAGATCATTTGCGGGGGGCTACGCCAGTCAGGTCTTGAGCCGAACCTTTCTCCTGGTAAAACTGAGGCGGTGATTCATTTCGGCGGTCCAGGGCACCAGGCCTGCCGACGAGCCCTGCTGTGCGTGACGAATCCCGGGGTCACCTTCTCGCAAGATACTGAGCGCAGCGGGCACCTGCGAGTGGTGCCGCAGTATGCCCACCTCGGCACCATCATTTCCTATAATGGAGCCGAGGGCCCCAATCTGCTCCATCGAGCTGCCCTCATGCGACAGATCTTCAAGCCCGTCCGCAGCCGTCTCTTTTACAATCCCCACCTCTCTCTCAAGGAGAAGAGACGGCTCCTCGAGGAAAGGGTCTTCCCCAGGTTCCTCTACGGGGCGGGGCTGTGGTGCCCGCGCACGGCACACGAGGCCGAACTGGCCGTCGACCCCATTCACACTGCCATGCGCAAGTCATTTCGCCCACTGCTGGGTCTGTCCTCGGCCGGTTTTTCCAATGACGAGGTTGCTGCAGCCCTGCAGCTGCCCACTCCGGCCGAGCGCCTGCACCATGCAAGGGCTTCGGCCTTCCTTGTTCTCTTGGAGACCGGTTCAGCCGAAACCTGGGCGAACTATGAGGCAGACGGCACGTGGCTCTCCATGGCCTGGCAGTCGCTCCAAACTGTTTGTGGGGAACGCTTGCCGGTGTCCCTCTGTTGCCGCAAACCGCCTCGCCCAGCCGAGATCATGCAGGCCCTCCCGGGGGGGGGTTGCCGGCAGTCGCAGGCTCTGCAAGAGGTACCTGCGCACATGTGTGGCACAACGCACGCCGGTGCAGCTGAGCGAGCGCAACCCCGACGAGGCTCCAAGGCCCGAGTTTGCAGGTGCTTCTCACCCTGCCCTCAACTTCACGTGTGAGTTGTGTGGGGCGGCCTTTCTGAACCGCCGCAGGCTCGCAGTGCACCTTGCGAGGATGCACCGCATACGTTCCAAGGCCGCCACTATCGCCTGGGGCACGCGATGTGAGCGATGCCAAACTGAATTTTGGAACGTCGCCCGGCTCTCTGAACACCTGCGACGTTCTGAAGTGTGCCAGGTTGCCTATGATCACTCGGACCTTGCACCAACCGGTTCACAGGTTACAGGCAAGGTACCGCCAGCGTGGCAGCCCGCCACGAGGGTCCATGGGCCCATGCCCTTTTGGGCTACGCTTTCGCCAGCCGCGGGGACTTAGGTGTAGCCAGAACCGCCGCTTTCAGGCGCTTTAGGCCCCGTCCGGCCCTGACTTTTGCACCAGGGCCTTCGGGATGTTTTCTTGCTGTACAGAATGCTAGGCACCTCCTCGGAGGCGGAATTTGGCGCGCGCCGACTTGGCACAAGCAAGACCGTGAAAAAACCCTAAGCCCTACACCCTCAACCCTAAACCCTAAACCCTAAACCCCAAACCCTAAAACCCCAAAACCTAAACCCTAAACCCTAAGCCCTACACCCTCAAGCCTCCGCCTTCGACCCTAGCTCGGGGACCCAGTGGCAGTGAAGAGAAGTTGAGGAGCGCGGTTGGTGCCGCGTCGAGAAGACCTGCCGTGAGCTTTCACCTGACCATACTTGGCTGATCATCCGGAGCGCCACGGAGATCGATTTCATGTCGGATCCTGCTTCAACCCTGGGTGGGCCTCCAGGTGAGGGCCAGTTTACAGTCCGTGAGGACCATTGCAGACATTGCAGAACTGTCTCGTTTTTTTTTTCTGTGATTTGGGATAGGGCTTGTATCACCGATGCAACCGTTTCTGTGACAGTGTACAGGTTTTTGTTTCAGCACTTTGGGGGTTGTTAGAGGCAGGGTGAGGGCGAATAGTTTTAATGTTGTGGGAAGAGTCGATCGAAGGACCGCGACCGGCTCGCACCAATTCTCCTGGTGGCCCTGAAGCGCACGTTGCTCCTCAGGCTGAGGAATCATGACCTGGCTGGTTATCGTGGACTACTGAACCTCCAGACGGTCCACATGCGAGGGTTCCCTCGTTTCCGCGAGCTTGAGCTCGTGCCCGGTACCGGGTCGGAGTGTGGCTTCGATGTGGTGTCGCGCTTCTTCCGTCAGAATGGCTTCGTAAGCGTCAAGGAGGTGGACAGCATGGGCTGGTCACCGTTGCACTATGCTGCGATCCGAGGGGACGCAGAACTGATTCAAGGCTTGCTGGTGCTGCGGGCGAACCCCAACGCAACGACCAGGCGGGGACGCCCCAGGGGATACTACTACTACTACTACTACTACTACTACTACTACTACTCCTTCTCCTCCTCCTGCTGCTGCTGTTAGGGGTAGCTTTATGTCGCGGCAGGCGTGTGAAGTCGCGACACCGCGTGGTCGCGGCAACGTGTGAAGTTACACCAGGGTGTTTGAAGTCACATTACAAGCATAGCTGCACATCCCCTTCCCCATTACCACGCGCTTGGCACAGACTTCAACTTAGGATTTCGAGTGCCGCGTGCGGGCTTTCTTAGGAACTTATGTCCAGGAGCCCTGAATTTTTTTGCTACTTTGGCGGCTAATCACCATGTGCAGGCGCTTTCAGACGCGCCCGCTCAAGACACACATCATTGGCATCATAGCGCACGAAGACTTGAGGAAAACCAGCCGTTCCCCATGTAGACGCTCGTTTTCAGAGGCACCCGCTCAACACAAACAGCAGTAGAATCACATCACTTCAAAACCAGCCATTCCCCAACTTGACGGTCGATTTCCGAAGTACCCGTCCAAGACACACATCATTGGCATCACAGCGCACGACAACCAGCCATTCCCTATGTGCAGGCTCGAAATCACAAGCACGCACTCAAGACAAACAGCCAGCCAATTCCCCATGTAGACGCTCCATGTCACGGGTGCCCGCGAGAGACCCGCATCAACGGCATCGCATGACGCCATTCCCCCGTTGTGGATGCTCGATTCCACAAGCAAGCGCACGAGACACTTTATCATGGCACCAGCCATTTTTGAGGTAGGTGTGTCTCTGACTCTCGGTCCTCTGTATGTGTGTGTGTGTGTGTGCTCGTGTGTGTACCCAGCGACAAACAGTGTGACCGAGACTGGTTTGGATGAGCTGGAACTGTAGTCAACAAGGCCATGTGATTAGCTCCGAAATGGACAAGCACCCGTTCGAGACACGCATCCACGGCATCTCAACACGTCAAAACCCGGCATTCCCCGTCAAGACACTCGATTCCACAAGCACTCGTTCGAGACACAAGTGGCACGACAACGTATCAAAACCGGCCTTTCCCTATGTAGAAGCTCAGTTCCACAAGCCTGTTGTTCGAGACACTCATACGTGGCATCGTTGCGTTGTAGCGGAATCGACACTGGGGACGACGCTGCGTTTGTCAAGGCTACGGCTCAGGTTTCAGGACGCTGTCATGAAGTGCAATCTCCAGTTCAAACAGCTTAACACCATGTGCACGCGGAAAGATACAACATCCGGTCCATTAAGTATGTCCATACCGATTGCCGGGACTTGTTCAGAAGGACTTCCCCGCAGTGTGCACGCGCAAAGGTATGACTTCA